TGGCTGCAAATGGGTGTTTAGAGTTAAAGAAAACCCAGATGGTTCAATCAATAAGTATAAAGCAAGGTTGATTGCCACGGGTTTTCATCAACAAGCTGGGTTTGATTGTAATGAGACATTCAGTCCAGTGGTAAGACCTATTACTATTCGGATCATGCTTACTTTAGCTTTGACAAATAACTGGATCATCAGACAATTGGATATCAATAATGCTTTTCTTAATGGTGACTTACAATAAGAGGTTTTCATGGTCCAACCTTTTGGCTTTGAGCATGCTAACAGGAACTTGGTCTGTAAGTTGCACAAGGCACTATATGGCCTTAAACAGGCTCCTAGAGCCTGGTTTGACAAGCTCAAGACTGCATTGCTTCTGTTTGGGTTTAAACCAAGCTGCTGTGATCCTTCCTTGTTCACTCTCAAGCTTGCTGCTGCATTTGTTTACATTCTTGTCTACGTTGATGATATCATAATCACTGGTTCAGATTTCTTTCCTCATTCAACAAATTATTTCTAATCTCAATTCTCAGTTTGCCTTGAAGGACTTAGGTCCTTTAGATTATTTTCTGGGTGTTGAAGTGAAAAGACATGCTTCTGGTGGCTTGAGCTTATGACCAACTAAATATATTCGAGACTTGTTAACCAGAGCAGCTATGCATGAAGTCAAACCTATCTCATCTCCTATGACAACAAGCTGCAAGCTTACTAAACATGGCACATCCTATTTTCCTAATCCCTTTCATTACCGGTCAGTTGTTGGTGCTTTGCAATATGCTACCATCACTAGACCCGAAATTAGCTATGCAGTTAACAAAATATGCCAATTCATGGCTCAACCCCTTACTGAACATTGGTTGGCAGTTAAAAGAATCCTTCGATATCTCAAAGGATCCCATTCCTTTGGTATTTTTCTCAGTCCGGCAGCTTCTTCAAGACCTCTCACCATCATTGCCTTATGTGATGCAGATTGGGCAGGAAATCCAGATGACAGAAAATCTACTTCTGGTGCTTGTGTTTATTTTGGACCAAATATTGTTTCATGGTGGTCTAAGAAGCAAACCTTGGTAGCTCGATCAAGCACTGAGGTTGAGTATCGAAGCCTAGCAGCTACATGTTCTGAAATCTTATGGATCCAATATCTTCTTCATGAACTTCGGGTTCCCATCTCCACTCCTCGTATTTATTGTGACAATTTGAGTACAATTGCTCTCTCTCACAATCCAGTCTTGCATGCTCGTACAAAGCACATGGAATTAGATATTTTCTTTGTCCGTGAACGAGTGATTCGCAAGGAACTCATTGTATCACACATCCCAGCCTCCAATCAACTTGCTGACACTCTTACAAAACCTTTATCTCCTGATCGGCTTACTGATTTGCGCACCAAACTCCGAGTATTGGATCTCCAACACTGCTGAGTTTGCGGGAGGGTATTAGAGTGTATAGTAAAGCTTAAGCTTTACTTAGTGATCAGATGTATTTTACCTACTGTAGTATCGATTGTATATGATTAGCTCTTCACTCTTTCTGTTAGTCTGTTATTACAACTGTTAGTGTTTGTTAGGAACAGTAGCTCTATAAATAGAGCATTCACGCACTGTGTTCATTAGAATCAATATACAACAACGACTTATTTTTCTTTCTCATTTCTCTCTCTTTACAAATTCTGATAGTATCTATACCGCTTGAGAATAATTTTATGTTTAAAATACATGAAACACATTTTAAGAAAAAGTTCACGTGCTTGAGATTTAAAACGTGGTATTTAAATAAATTATAATTTCATCCACTCTTGCACATAACAAGGAAATAGGGGAAATCAAGTTTCCGAGGATAATTTTCAATTTTTCCCTACCAAACGTTGCAATCTAAGAATTCTATACATTTTAGAATTTGCCTCGTACCAAACAACACTTAGATACTATTCTAAGATTTTTCCCAGAGCCAGAGAGGTAGGGGTGTAAATGGGCTAGGTCAGTTTACAGGAGTCTATAACCTAGCCTATATTAGGTCAGACTTGGCCTATTATAGATAGTAAAATAAAACAGACATAAACTTAAAAAAAAAAAATTAGAAAATAGGCTAAAAGACTATAGGTCGACTTATATCATATTATTTATTTAAAATATATTAAATAAAATTATTATTTTAATAATTTTAAATAATAAAATAATATTATTTTAGTTATTCTTTTAATTGTTGAATGTTTAATTGGCTTAAACAGGTCTAGACCAATGCTTTTATTTTTAAAATATAGGTCAGACAATACTTGTAATTTGGGTCCTACAGAGTCTAATAAGCCAAGTTATACCCAATATTTTTTATACAAACCTAACATATGTAAGTCAAAACCTAACATAGCCTAGTCTATTTACACCATTATCCAAAGGCGTAGATAATAATCAATTGATGATTGGGCTTCTCTAACAACATAATTACACAAACTATGTTTTCTTTTAAATCTGGACCAGTTATATGAACCACATTAAAAAAAAGAACAGAAGGAACAAATATATTGTATCTGCAAATCGATTTGAATGGTCAGAAATAATTGACATGCATCAATACAACCCCGAGTTCTTAGTTTTATATATATATATATATATTAGGTTTCATTAATTAATTAATTTTTAATTTCCAATAAATCTCAACCGTTAGATGCACGAAAATTAACGGTTAAGATTTGGTGTAAGACTTATTATTCTTACACCGGTGTAAGTTGATCCTATCCATATATATATATATATATATATATATTTGATATTAAATAACATAAGTTATATCATTTTAAAAGAGAGGTAGACAAAAAAAAAATAAAAATTATAGGGAAAAAATGAATGGCTTTTTTTTTTAATTTAAACTTTAAGTAAATATATATATATATATATATATATATATATATATATATATATTGTGTCTATCTCTTTTTCAAAATAACATAATTTTATGTCATTTAAAATAACAAACAATTTTTTCTCTCTCTATATATGTGGATAAAATATTCTTATATTGATATAAAAATAAAAAAATTTACATCAAATTTTGGTAATTGTTTTGCTTGCATATATCGACTTGCTTGTATCTAACAACTCAAATATTTGAAAAATCAAAATCATTAACTATAAATAGTATCAACGATCAAAATTGAAAACGTAAAATAATCCTTACTTTTATATATATATAAAACGTTTATCAAGTTATTTTGAGATAATTTTATCTCCAACTACTAAAATATAACCGTACAAAGATTACTCAATGGTGATAAAGGAATAAAGAGAAAAAAATAATTATAATCATTTAAAGGTGAATCAATTAATATAAATAAATAAATAAATAAAAGACGTAATTTTTAGGTGGACGGAGATAAATATATTTTAAGTTACTTAAGAAATATTTTTCTTTTATATATATATACATACACTGGGAAAGTTATATTGACAAACTTTTTGTTTACAAATTCTTACAAACTACATTATGTTCTTCCGGAAAAACACTAATGTTCTCTCGGGAATACATAGTGTAATTTGTAAAATTTTGTTAAAAAAATTTGTAAACGGATCCTTCTCCTATATATATATATATAGGGCTTATCATTTCTCAAGCTGCCGGAGATAAAGTTATCTCCGGCTACTAAATCATAACCGTACAAAAATGAATCAATGGTGATAAAAGAAGAGAGATAAAAATAAAATTATAACCATTCAAAGGTGAATCAATTAATATAAGAAAATAAATAAATAAAACGACGTAGTTTTGGAGTGGCCGAAGATAAACTTATCTAAAGTTGTCAGAGAAATATTTTTCTCATATATATATATATAATATATATACATAAGTGAAATATCTTTTCATTGTATTTTTGTTAAGATACGAGTCTTTACTTTTTTTAACATTTTTTAATTTGTTTATTTTTAAAATTATTACCAATTTTTATATGCTTATTATTAAATTATATAATTTTTAAAATTTTATTTAATTCTATATTATTAAAATATTCTTTTGTTTAAATTTTTTTTTAAAGTATAATTTTTAATAGTTTGAATTATTTTTTTCAGATTATTCTTCATTATTTTTTTAACATTTTTTAATGTGTTGTTTTTTAAAATTATTAATAGTTTTTATATGCTTATTATTAAATTATATAATTTTTAAAATTTAATTTAATTCTATATTATTAAAATATTCTTTTGTTTAAAAATTAAAATTTATTTTAAAGTATAATTTTTAATATTTTGATTTTTTTTTTCAGATTATTCTTCCAATTTTGACTGCTCTATTTTTATATATTAAATTAAATTAAATTATTTAAATTTTGGAAAAAATATTTTTCCAATAAAACTTTAGGAAAAGTATTTCTCTGGTCACTAGAAATAAAATTATTTCTAGTAAGCTCAAAATAACATCGTTTTGGGTTATAAGTTTAAAAAGTTATAATGATAAAGACTAATATAACACTGCAATATATTAGAATTATAAAAATACCTTGATCTTCGTTTCAAAATGACTTCTGGAGATAACTTATTTACGTTGAGTAGAGAAATCTTTTATCCTAAAACTTTATGACCTAATTTTTTTCTTTCTTCCTCCGTTTTTTCACGAGCCCAACTACTTATTTTTAGGAATTAAAGTTATTTCAGAAATATTAATCCTTTAAAAATGATTTAATTGTTCTATTTTCTTATCTATATATCACTTGTAATTTTAAATATTTAAAATAATAATAATAAAAAAAGACAAGAATATCCACAAACTACGATTATCTTATTATCAGTTCATGAGAATAATATTTTTCTTTTTAAAAGATATAATATGTATTATTTTATTCTCGGGTTCAAACCTTTATTTTTTTTTCTTCCGTGTCTCTCTCCCTTGTGATCTATCTGCTTCTTTCACCTACACATAATTTTACATCTTTAAAATCACAGATAAATTTATAACAATAACTCCATAACGGATCTAATGTAAATATGCAATGCAATACGTATAAAATGTTAGTTTTTTAAATAATTGAAAAAAAGGAAAGAAAATACAAAGCTAACACTTCTCTTTCTCTCTCTAGTCTCTCTCTATCTCCTCTACCATGTATGTCTCTGTATCTGTACTAGAAATCAACAACTTAGAATCATTTTCTTTTTCGTTTCCCTCCATAGATCTCAAAAATTTGCTCTCATCTCAACCCTAATTTTCGCTTCATCCTATATTATATAACAATCGCTAACACATTCTTCATCTTCTGTTATTCAAAAACTTCATCATCTGCACTGATCGATGATTCTGGAACCTTCATGAATCTCCATCTTCTTCATGGGCCAACACCACAACCCTTACCATGCCTGAGCTGCGTACCCGACCTCGCAGAAACCGCCTGTTAGATAACGCTAATACGAATCCGATTACCCGACCTCACTCACCGGCGGCCGTCGGAGCCGGCCGGAGGAGGAGAACCTCCGCCGCTGCTACTCAGACCAAGAGGAATCGGAGGCAGAAGAACGCGATCGCTGCAGATGAAATCGGTCATATTGTGAACAACGACGACGCCGGTGCCGTTCGTGAAGCCAGGGCCAGAGAGTTGAAAGACGAGCAAGGAGAGCCGGTTAGGGTTTTGGAGGAGGAAGCCATGGATGAGTATGATAGTGGTGGCCGCAGCGCCGATAAGGCTCCGGGTGCCGAAGACGATGGCAGCACCGCTCCACTTCCTGAGAAGGTGGTTTTGATTTCAAGAGTTTCTCTCTTTCTTGCATTTTCTTTGTTCTTTGAGTTTAGAAGAAATTCACAAAAGCGAAGCTATGTTATGCATGGCTTGGTTGGCTCTTGTTTTTTTTTTTACCGGTAGTGGAACACTAGACTGGTTGCATGACAAGCAATGCTAGTTTGCTACTTCGCTCTTAACTTGTTCTGTTTGATTATTGGATTTTTTTTTCTTCAGTCAAGAACTTAATGTTTCCAGCGTTAGATGAGTTAGATAGAGATTATATGTACCACTTAGCGTATTGATGCAAATAGATTCTGTCATATGTTGGAAAGTTAATCTGTTTTGTACTTTCTTCATAACAGGTCCAGGTTGGTTGTTCCCCGTTATACAGAGTTGAGAGAAAACTTGGGAAAGGAGGATTTGGACAAGTCTATGTTGGTCGGCGTGCAGGAGCTACTACAAATTCTAGTGAACGAACTGGTTCGGCCGCTATTGAGGTACGGTGTTAGTTTGTTGCTCTTTTGTGTTTGACTTACACATCTTGGATTTCTTATTATCCACGTATTGCTCCAATAACTGCAGGTAGCTTTAAAATTTGAGCATAGAAGCAGCAAGGGGTGCAATTATGGACCTCCATATGAGTGGCAGGTTTACAAGTGAGTCGACTATCTTTCTTTCCACAGGATGGAGTTGCTCTGCTTAGGTTTTACTTAATTATGGATATTAAGTGCTAACTTTGCCATGATTATATCTTATAGTGCACTAGGTGGTAGTCACGGTGTTCCACGAGTTCATTACAAGGGACGGCAAGGTGACTACTATATTATGGTATGTACTCATAAAATTTTTGATAGAGGAATGGGGGCTTGTGGTTGTGTCTGAATGTTTTTGTGACATAATATTGCATACAGGTCATGGATATTCTTGGCCCTAGTCTATGGGATGTTTGGAATAACAACTCACACACGTAAGTATCTCAGAAATTTTAGTGAAATGTAATGCATCTTATCTTTGTTAATGTTGTGCTCAATATACATAGCTAACCTTTACCACTTCTTTTTTGGATTTAGGATGTCGACTGAAATGGTTGCATGTATCGCAATTGAGGCTATCTCCATATTAGAGAAGATGCATTCTAGAGGGTGATTCTCATTTTCCTGATTATGCTGATGATTTATACCTGGATTTTCTTTTCTTTTAATGGGTTGGATACAGTTCAGAATGCTTCCTGTCTGGTCTCACTATATGTTGTCATTTTGGTGTTCTCTCTATTCTGCATGTGAGAGAAACACGGCCAATCATTTGTTGTTGCCTTTTGGTGACACAATGAAAGAGCATTGTGTTTTATTCTTCTGGTTGATCAACATATATTTCTATAAAATGAATTTGGAACCATTAAATCTGAAACTATTCTTCGAATTTGACTCTTCTGTATTTTGTGTAAGATTTGCTTGCACTGTTTTACTAAATTGAATATTGTGGAAGTGCAGTTTCTTTTTACCCATAATTTAACAATTTTTGTGTTAGTCAGACCTCCCCGAAAATTTCACATTAGTTCAGACTGCAAGAGCAGTAACAAATCCAAGTTCCATTTATTATGGTCTATGGCACAAACCTGTTCAACTCCACCTAGAATGTACTCATACACATGGACACCTGTTTGAAATTGATCCATTGAAAATTTATATATCTTGAGGAAATTATTATATCATGTTTCCAGTCAGAAGAAAGGAAAGTTTGCTATATCATGTATAATCTGCACCCGCAAAAGAATTTTCATTGTTCTGCCCCTTCCCTTAATAATTAAATAGTAAATACTTAGTGATTATTATTTATTGCTTTATCATACCGTGCCAATGTAAGTTAGAATAGTATCATCAGCATATATATATTTTGAATGATTTTACTGCATGGATTCTAGTATATATTGATCACATTTTGTTGCAAAGAACATGTCATCATTCTGCTTTCATTATTGCAGATATGTGCACGGTGATGTAAAGCCGGAGAACTTTTTGCTTGGCCCCCCTGGAACTCCTGATGAGAAGAAGTTGTTTCTGGTTGATCTTGGATTAGGTAAATATACCATAGTACTCTTGAACCTTTGATTTTTCAATTGTCAATCAAATTTGCCTAATTTCTCATAATATCACTACTCATATCACTCTCATTTTCCACACAGCAACTCGGTGGCGTGATAGTTCAACTGGCCTTCATGTTGACTATGATCAACGCCCAGATGTATTTAGGTGAGTTAATGGTTTAATTTCTTTAAACAGTAGTCAATGTCTGGCTTTTGAGTGATAATGTATACCATACTCTTTTTACAGGGGCACAGTTCGTTATGCTAGTGTGCATGCTCATCTTGGTAGAACAGGTAGCAGGAGAGATGACTTGGAATCTCTTGCTTACACACTTGTCTTCCTTCTTCGTGGTCGGCTACCTTGGCAAGGATTTCAGGTTATCATTGTTTAAAATAGTCATTTTAGTATTACATAAAAATATAAAATATGATTCTAATGAAATTGTTTGTCATAGGGAGAAAATAAAGGATTTCAAGTCTGCAAGAAAAAGATGGCCACTTCTCCAGAAGCTTTGTGTTGCTTTTGTCCTCAACCTTTCCGGCAGTTTGTTGAATATGTAGTGAATTTGAAGTTTGATGAAGAACCAAATTATGCAAAATATATATCCCTTTTCGATGGAATTGTGGGTCCAAATCCAGACATCAGGCCAATAAACACTGAGGGTGCTCAAAAGGTACTTAATGATATTATTAATATAGAATTTTCTTTTTATCGTTTACAGATTAATTGCCTGACTCTTGCTGCCATTTTTTGGGGCTTGTGTTGTGAAGCTTATATGTCAGGTTGGACATAAGAGAGGGCGATTGACCATGGAAGAGGATGATGATGAACAACCAAAGAAGAAGGTGCGAATGGGAATGCCAGCAACTCAATGGATTAGTGTTTACAATGCTCGTCGACCAATGAAGCAAAGGTTTTTTTTCTGATGTTAAATAAGTTTTTGCAGTTGATTTCAAAAAGTCAAAGAGTTTAAAATTTTTATTTTTTTGGTGTAGGTATCATTACAATGTTGCTGATATGCGGCTGTCCCAACACATTGAGAAAGGAAATGAAGATGGTTTGTTCATCAGCAGTGTGGCATCTTGTTCTAATCTTTGGGCACTCATTATGGATGCTGGCACTGGTTTCACTGCACAAGTTTATCAACTCTCGTCCCACTTTCTTAACAAGGTTGGTTAACTTATGTTTCAGTTATGGCATTATGTGTCTGATGTTGGTGATATCATGTCTGACTAACTCACAAATCTGTTTTTATAGGAATGGATTATGGAACAGTGGGAGAAGAATTATTACATTAGTGCCGTAGCTGGAGCTAATAATGGGTGCTCATTGGTTGTAATGTCTAAAGGTAAATGTCCTTGAAACCTACATTCCTCTGATATTGTGTATTCGGAATGGATAGTTGGCTTGACTTTTGATGATGACTTGTTTTGCATAATTTGACCAGTAATGCTGTGTTTAAGTTGTTGTCTCACTTATACTGTTGGATGGTTCATTTTAGGGACCCAGTACTTACAGCAATCCTATAAAGTCAGTGATTCATTTCCATTTAAGTGGATCAACAAAAAATGGAGAGAAGGATTTTACGTCACTGCTATGGCCACTGCTGGCACTAGATGGGCAATTATTATGTCCCGAGGGGCTGGTTTTTCAGACCAGGTCTTGCTTTTTTTAAAAAATATTTTTGATTAAAAATCATTCCGGCACTGAGGAATTCTCTCTGATGATATATTATTTTCTCTCTAAACTTATTTCTAGGTTGTGGAACTTGATTTCCTGTATCCCAGTGAAGGCATTCATCGACGATGGGATAGCGGTCACCGCATCACCTCAACTGCTGCAACATGGGACCAAGCTGCTTTTGTTCTTAGTGTTCCTAGAAGAAAGCCAGCTGATGAAACTCAAGAGACACTCCGCACATCTGCTTTTCCTAGTACTCATGTCAAGGTAAATTGTGTACTAATTTTCCTGTATTCAATATTCATTGTCATTCCATGATCATACATGCTTATATTTGATTTTTTGTTTTTGCAGGAAAAATGGGCAAAGAACCTCTATATTGCATCTATTTGTTATGGGAGAACAGTTTCATAAATTGCTGATTTTTTTTGAGATTACAGCTGACATCATTTTGACCTCTTGCCCTTACATCTTCCAGTTGGGAACTGAAGATCCAGTCTGACAAATTTTCTAAACTATGCAGTTCAACATTGATGTATGCTAGACCTTTCTTTATGGTCGCCATCACATATCGTATGATACAAAATCTGTGCACCGTATTTCAACTGTGTCAAAAAGGCTTACGATTTATGAGCAAAATTAGATCTTTTGATATAAATTTGTACAGATCTGAGCAGTTATTACTATATTAAAGGCATGTGCACAGGTTAGGTTTTTTTTGTCTATTGATGGTATTTTGCAAATATGCAACCTATTTTTCCATGGGAACTGGACATTTTAAGCAGTGCAGCCTTGTAATTAGCCCTTTTTATCCCTACCTCTTTTGACTTCAAGCTACTTCTGGGCTTGTCAATGCCTGAATTTGACCTTATAAGACAGAAAGTTGTATGCTATGGCAGCAGTTTGTAATTGTTTAATTATTGTAATCCCAATATTATTATTATTATTATTCGTTGTTGTCTTTTACGTGTTAATTATATATTATGTTCAGCTACCCCCAACCGTGTATTTGGTTTGTGGGTTCATCTCATGAAATGTAAATGGGGTTAGTCTGATTGAAATGAAGGATGAGAATGCTTTAGTTTCATTTCTCTTTTAAAGAATTGTGATCATCTTTTTTTATTTGTTTCTTTTGCTTTTGACAATTTTGTTTTTGCGCTGTCAGTTTGCTAATTATTTAATACTTTACCATGATTGTTTCAATTTGGAAAATCGTGTCATCTACATGTGTCAATCTATATGATTGTGTACGAATGGGAGCCTTGTAAGCATAAGTTCAGTTACTAGCAGTTGCAAATAACTGCCATCTATTTTGCAGATAATGACTCTGAAAATTAAATCTGTATTGTTCTAGCCACTTTTTACTTCCACTATCTGAAGTCTGCATGATGGGTTCTACATGATTGGGTGCTTATTTTGTTTGATTCTTTTTCTAACATCCAACATTGCAAGATGTACTTTTGATTCTTATGAGAAGTTGACTATCTGGGAAGCTCATCTTAGGTAATAACTTCTGTACCTCTTCATTATTGACTTTTGTATTACTTGAGAGTTTACTTGGACATATGAAGCAGTATTTTGATTCTGCAGCTCTTTTTTTTCAATTTCTTATTCTGTGCAGCTAAGATGTTCTCGTAGTTTGATCTAGATATGCTCTATATGGATGAATCATTTGATGTTCTTTTGGCCTGATGGCACTAAGCGTCAGTTCCTAACATTTGTTACTTAATCTGCATTTCTCTTCTCAATAGAAACTCAGGTTGTTTGGATAATTCATTTAACTTCTGTGACTGGTAACTTGCAGATTTTCCTGGTTGGTCCAGACCATGATTATAATGCTGGAGCAACCCATGTGTCAAAGGAAATCTGAAGCTGTTAAAGGAACTGGTGTTTTTGGAATTATTTACCGTATGTGTTAGGGTGAGGGATTGTAATTGAATCCGACGGCGGATGGCTTCAATTTGTTATGTTCTCTTCTAATGCTTTGTCAAAATTACGGTATTTTAAATGTCACATTATTACAACTATTTTTTACTGAGTTGGAGATCAAATAGAGAAATAGTTGTGCTTCCATGTGAAGTTGTGACGTTGGTACGATTATCCTTCAATGTTGTCTGTCATCTTTTTCTTTTTTAAGAAAAAAAATCTGAGACCTCTAAGTAGTTGCACGAACTGTATAACAGGATTCTCTCTCTCTCTCTCTTAGTGTTGACTTCTGTGCATCAGCTGCAAGGTTTTCCAATTCATTGTTCCTGTCACGCAACTTAATACCGTGCTCGATATCAGCTTTCTGCTACAAAGAAACATGAAAGGTACTGTAAGATGGATCCTTGATTTGAGAAAAGCTTTTCCAGATATGCTTTATAACACAAGATATTCGGGATGGCGTAATGATATCAATACACTAAACCGAGCCAGCTTGCCTTTAGTTGAGCTAGGATGTGAAAGTTGCTTACCGACTTTTTGGCTGGATTAAAGAATATATTGATGGATGCCATTGGGAAAAAGCATCCTTAGTTCATAGTCGGTGTGTATTAAATTACATGTAACGTTTGCATCAATTTGTGTACGAATTTGACACCTTCGTTTTTATGCTTTTTCGAGTTACCTATTTTGTTAGACTTCTATTGATCAATCCAAGGTCTGGTAATGATGGGTGCATGATTCAACGAGGTAGACAGGGTGCGAAGTTACGGGTACAATCGCCCATTGTTTAATCTTTAATATTTTATGTAATAGGCATTGTCATGGTTTCAAGAGGAGAAAAACTTTAATATGCCGAGAGCATCAATGATCAAACTGATGTTTTTTTTTACTAAATGGGAAACTTTTCCCCATTTTTATTCATTTTTTTTAATATTTCCTTTAAAGTTTTAATTTTTTTCCTATTTAATAAAAGAAAACACTAAATTTGGTGTTCCTGGCGTATGAAGTTTTTTTTTTTCGACAAATAGAGGGGAGCCTTGCAGTCCTACCAGCTCTTGAATTTTTTGAGCTGACAAGGCTAATTTTTACACTACATAATATTCAGTTTGATTTCTGATCTGAATAAAATATGGTAGATCCATTAAAAGCCCACACACACAAGGACAAGATCCAAAACCCTTAAAGCCTAGTATAAGACGCGATGACTCAAATCGCGCACAAGCATGGCGCGAGGATACCATTGCGCACAAAATCGCCCTTTAATATAACTTCAGAGATGAGGAAGCCAATACAGGAACTGACAAAGGTACACCGCGCCCTTAAACGAATAGACAGAGGATAGCACTTGCCACTATTCTATCAAAGTAGCCTGACATTAAGAGATAAGGCTATTACGGCACAGACAGAACCTGCAACCCCAAAATGGCCAATCAGAGGCCATACCGCCTTCACAAGGCGGCATCACAACTATTATATAAACAGAGGGTACATGCCCAAGTATGATCATCTAATTCAGTAAGAATACACATACTCCTGCTAATTGATATTGACTTGAGCGTCAGAGTGTCATCGCAGGTACCCCCAGTTTAAATCATCGCGCCAAAGGAGAACCAGAGTCCTCGCATCATCAACTACAACCTCAAGCCCGTAAAGTTGATCGTCCCAAAGGCCTTCTCCATCAACCGCATGTGATTTGGCCAAGTACACATTAGCCAGCCCATACTGTATTTGGTCCAAGCAATTTCTAATTAAATTGCTGTTTTCGTTGACCTTTGAATCTTAAAATTTATTTCATAGTAGTAGCTATTGGTTTAGTCTTTATATATGTAAAGAACCAATTCAACCCAAAAGCTTAGGCTATTGGGTGAGGTTATATTAATGATTTTATATATCTCAACAAGCCCCCTCACACGAGAGCCCACTGGACTTAAAGGGTGGACAATGTACAGGCCCACCTACCTGCGCGAGAGAAAGTTGGGGCAGTGAGGATCGAACCCCCGAAGCTCTGATACCATGTAAAGAACCAATTCAACCCAAAAGCTTAAGCTATTGGGTGAGGTTATATTAATGGTTTTATATATCTCAACAATATATACATCAAGTCTAACTTCTTGGATAAGCACAAACTTTAAGCATCTTGGACATAAAAATGAAAAGTAAAATGAGCATCTGATTTTGTTTTATGTGCTAATATCTAAAGTTTTTTTAATGTTACTTAATACCTTATGATTTGAAAAGGTTCACACGATTTTTTAATTTTTCGGTCAAAATAAATTTTTTAAATATTTAATAAAAGGAATAACAACTGAATTCTTGATTCCGTCCGTCAGTTATTTACTCAAATAAAATTTTCGTTTAATTCTGATATTATCCAAAATTGAAACTTTATTTTTTATTTACTCATTTGAGATTTCTACACTAATTTTGTATGTCATGTGCAAATTGTATGACAAATATATTCTTTCAATGGGTATTAATCTGTTATTACACCCTTTTTCCCCCGAGCATAGTACTTATCAATAATTTCATTAATTACATTTAATAATTTTAACAGATTGTTGTAATATCAACATTCAACAAATACTCGAAAACTTATCTAAACAAATGCTTAAGAGCTCTCATTTTCAACAGTTCACTTAATGGGTGTCTACTTATATTTTTTTAGTTCAAAAATCTTTTTATGATCTTCTAAACTCACAACGAGTCAAATTGAAGATTGTAAACCGGAAACATTTTTGGAGTAAAGGTTGAAGTACACAAGCCCCCAACCCGCCACCCCCCAAAAAAAGTGTACAAGCCAAATTTGGTTGATGTGCTGTTGTTTTAATTCCTTACGAACTGTATATTGGAAACCGTTATCATCTTAAAATAGATCTCTAATTAGCAATATTTCGGAAACTGGATTGGTGATTTAACTAGGGAAAAAATCAGATTATAATTTAATGGTTCAATTGTAATTTGAATTGTTGTTGAAATTAATATATTTTAAATATATTTAATTGTTAATGAGAGCAGATTATTCTTACACTGGTGTAAGAATAACAAATCTTATACCAAATTTTAGTCAGTCATTGATTTATTTACATCTAATGGCTTAAATATTTAATAAATCAAAATCATAAAACATAAATAAGATCAATAGTCAAGATTAAGAATATAATTTACTGCTGCGCTAAAATGATAACCGTTAGATATAGCTTATAAAAGCACTAGTGGTAAACATCATCAGGAACGGAGATTTTTAGGTGAGGTACTTCTAGCCTTCGATGAAATACATGTCTCTTTATGATGGTTCGGTATCTTATTTTTCCAGTGTGTCTCTTTTCTGGATGTAGATGATAATATCTATACAGGTGGATCTTCTATATATAGTAGAATTCTTTTATATATCGCACAATGAAGTACCGCGTGAGTGGATATAGAAGAATCCAAATCTGCCGAATGGTTACTTCCAATTACGTAAATCAATAGTTCAAACCGCACTCAAAGGTAGGGCATTTCCCATTTTTATAGGAAAACACTGCCCTAGTTATAAACCTGATCTTTAGTTGTTTTATCGTCCACTGCCCTTTTCTACTAAGTACTAAATAATAACAAAAAAAGGATATGAATTACAACTATTATATTTTCCAAAAGTCAAATATTTTCCAACTATAATATTCACCTTTCAACTTATATAGCTTCTTCACTCTCAACCAAAAACCAAAAGAGGGAGAGGGGGTGGGCATGCATATTTCAGCTATTAAATTTGCATACTCAAAATGTCCAAGTTGTTGCTAACTGTTGGAAAGCTACTTGCCCATCTGGAATGTCAAAATGGATTGATGCCAAATACACCTAAGCGGCATAGTCTCCTCAAGCGAACTCTTTCCTGAAAATGGAAAATATAACATTGAAAAGTAATGAATTACACGTGAAATGGTTAACACAACCAAATGCAGAAATGATACGCACCTCACTGTTATCATGATCATACCGAATTAAGATGAGACACCTGCACCCTCTGATATCATGCATTCTCCTTTGGATCTCTACAATGTGAGCATCATAGTAAATAGCCTGATCTCTCCTCTCCTAAAACCCAATTGAAACTGTTAAGTTAAATATAGTGATGTCCTGTAACAATACTTTGGTAAGCAAACTTCAGCCTAAATCACCTGTAAACACAGGACTGGATCTCCAACTTTCAGGTTGGAACACTCTGTGTTTTCCAAAGGAATAGAGCGTTGTCGGACTGAATTCTTTATATTTATCCACTCATCTTCCTCATCTCCAAATCCAACAAATCTGACTTGGACTTCCTTTAACAAAAGGCAGAACTGTATCAGATGGCAAAATCTTGTAACCCCATTTTAGGGGCAAATCAATTTATCAAATCCAATATCAAGTCTTGCAGCAGTAAGCTATGAACATCATGATTATTATTAAAACTTACAGCTTCGCCAGTGCTAAGAAACCTGTGAGCTAGAAATGTCTCAACATCATACCTGCAGCAGAAATTTGTGAAGATTATATATAACTGATTGGAACAAGTTATTGCCAAAAATACTGTGCCTGTATGTCTGCAACTAGACCAAATTGCAAATTGCACAAAATTTAATGAAAGAAGAACAGTAAATTTTTTGAAGATCAGCTATTATTATTTTGAATATCACTCACTCCCCTTTAAAAACAGTAGGAAAAGTGGAGTTCAAAATCAAAAACAAAATTAAACTACCCACAATATTTTAGCGGGGAGGGAAAAATAGAGGAAATAAAATAGGTAATGGCAGCAATTGAGGATCAAAATTATGTGACATAGCATGACTAATGAATTGAATCAGCCAGAAATTAAGCTAAATGCAAATCTGCGATACTGGATATGTGCTCACCATGCTCCATCTTTCGATGACTTCGCTTCAAATTCCAACTTTGATGGGTCTCGGATAATTTCTCCTGCAAGGCAATCATTTCAAGCACAATCACACAATATGAGCTCATTTGATACCATTGATTAGATGTTGACTCGAAAATATCTATAAACACGAGGGTACCAAACAAATAAGAAAAGGAAAATAGAAAGTGAGAAAGAGCTCAAGAAGAGCCATGTTATATTGTTTTCATATTCCCTTCATTGCTGCCAAGTCACTTCCTCATCTTCAGTATCATTGTTTTCTTCTATTAAACATGCTACAAACACCATAAAGCAGCTTACCATAAAAGCCATGTTATAAAATTTCATATGTGTCATTATTTTAAAGCAATTATATTGAATAAAAAAAATGCAACATAGAGTCATAGACCCCAGACACATCAAACATAAACTAGGCTATCTACCACAGACTAAAGCAGCAACGTTAGACACTGCAAGTATATTATTGAAATAATCTCAAGTTGATCATTTTAATGCTAGACAGCATAAGTACCAAGTATGCTAAGAACCTCAAGGCATGCAAGAAGTCTCACCTTCCTTACATCCAAGGTCTTTAGGGACTTGTGGCGAGTCTTGAAGCCTAGTCTGAAACCAATTTTCTATCTAAAATTTTCCCCAAAATAAAGGAATAATTAAAATATGCTTTAAAAATAAAGAATAATACAGAACTAAAAAGCCACAAAGACAAACAAACTCTCCAATATCAGAAAAAACGAAGTAACAGTATGTGAAAGATGGTGTTCTGGAGATTTAAGAAATAAAATATATGAGTTGAGAAAATGCATTAACCTCTATCCATTTTATGATAGGTTTCCCAGCACGACCAGAGGAACGGCTGCAGAAACATAACATTCCAAAACACAACTCCTCAATGACAACATAAGCGTCATCATTTACTACCAGAAAAAAAGAAACCAACAAACATTGAAAAGCAAAACTCACTTGAAACTTTTAGCAAGGTTTTGGTAAAATTCCCGGCCCAATGATCGCTCATTTGATTCCCTTAGCAATTTCTCCATTTTATCAATCTGTTTGTCAGGGTACAGCAAGTTCAAATCATTATAAGTTGAGAACAACAGCACATGCTAAAACACAAACCCATCTATAAACCTTCACAAAAATTCAGACACTACCTTTATTATATAAAAAACTTGGTACCCTAATAAAACAAAACAAAGACCAACAAAAAGCAATTGAAGTTGCAAGTATCTAAGTAACATAAGTATCATCAAATACTCTTGAGACATAAAATAAGAAACATTATTAAACCAGGGAACACGTGATTGCATTCAGAGACAAAAAAAAAAAAAAAAAATCAACAAAGGACAACAAATGCTTTCAAATTACATATAATGCTTCTTCTTGTCTTCCAAGACCCATTTTTTTAGCCGATGAAGAAAGGGTTAATCAATCAAAACCCAAACAACATTGGCATAACAATAATAATACCTCAGCATTTGTAAATCCAGAAAACACAGGTCTGTTCCGAGGACGTAAGCGGTCCATCAACTTAAAGTTCGTCCCTTTTGCTCAAACACCTAATTTTTTTTTTTATTATTGAAATTCTCCACTGCGGACCCAAGACCAGTTAAATTAAAACCCTAGCAACTCTTTTTTTTTTTTTTGTTCTTCTATTTTTCCATTTTTTTAATTGAAAGGTAAATTATTACCGTGTTCTATTTTTTAAGAATAAGAAATGAGTTTCATTCTTCGTATGCCACCTGCATCTCTTTTTGTCATTTTCATTTACTTCCCTGACAGTTTTTATTTTTAATTTTTTAGAAAAAATAAATTATTATAAAAGTTGACCACAGCTGACTCCTAAAAAAATACAGAAAAGTTAACTTCAACTTCCATTTAAACCAATAAATGTTTATTTATAAGCTAATTTTATGATACTTCAATCTGAGTGATAAGGAAAAATATTTAAATATTATAATTTAAATAACAAATTACGCAATTAATAATTTTTTTAAAATATTTTGTATAAATAATGCAATTAGTTACGCATAAATCTGATGTGTAACTGACGGCGTATAAAGAATGTACGCAATTGTTACGTTATGAATTACGCACATGTTATGTGCTCAATTAATTATGTATAAAATATGTATGCAATAACTTGTCACATGAAATTAATTAAAATATTAGTTGCTATAGTTTTTACTTTTTTTAATTCAGTCCTGATAGATTTTTCCTTTTGAACTTACTCATGTCAAAATAATTTCTATTATTATTTTCTGCTATGACATTGTTAATTTAATTTCTATATTTCAACATATAAAAAAATTAGTATTGCAATGTACTTATTGAATAAAAGAACCTGTTTATAAAAAAAAAAAAAAACCCGGGTGAGTTCAAGAGGAAATGGGTCGGACCACACAGTTGTGGGATGGTGATTTTGACTTGGAGAGATGGGGTATCTACAAAGTAGTCCAATCCCCAAGTTAGTATTTAATCGAATAAGTTTAAGTAAATTAAAAAAAAATGATCATAACATAATCACAAAAAATTTCCTACACACACAACATTTTGTGGGGTCGTAGCGAACAAAAAAAAAAAACTTCGACGCGTAAAACGAATCTCTATAACATAACACAATCACTTTTTCTACAACATAACTCTTATAAAACCCTTTATAATAACGACATCTTGATTATTATTTTGTTATGATGACTTGGTACGATAACATGCATTTTTATTGATAGATTGTGATATTTGTAAAGGGAAAAGTGTGTGTCAATTTATAGATATAAAGAAATGAGAGTCATATATATATTTTATTTTTTTTGTCTTTATTTTTCTCTAAATAGAACTCAAATTTCTTTATATCTATAAAATAACATAACTCAAGTCATTTAAAATAACATGTATTTTTTTCATTTGCAAAATGCCTTTGGCGAGCCATGATATATAGTTTAGTTGGAATTTCACACATGTCTCTTTGTAATTGACTATTAGAGAGATTTATGAGTTAGGGGTGTTCATCAATCGATCTAAACCGATTCAAATTGCGGTGACCGAACTGAAAAATCGATAACCGATTAAATCGAAAACGGAAAAACCAAAAAAAAAAAAAATCGTAACTTTTAATTGGATTGGATCAGTTTTCGGATTGCTTAATGAAAACCGACCCAATATATTAATTTCCCTCTGCCTCTTTCCTCAATCATAAGCCAAAAAATTTTTAAACCCAAGATCCATTAACACATTAACTAAATCCAAGAAAAAATCTAGTCACATCATTTCATCTGCGTATAGCTTCATATCTCATTGCCCCAAAAAACTATATTATCATTTACTGATGCTTTTGTATTTCAATTTTTTTTTACAAAGCCAATATATATATATAAGATGTTATCTGCATGAAACAAATTTTAGGATTTTTAAAAAACCAAAAATCGATCCAATCCACAACGAAAAAAATTGGATTGGATCAGATCGAATTTGAAAAAAAGTCCAAACCGAATGAATGATTACATGGTCAGACCAAAGGAATTGGATCATATGATTTGTGCTTCCAAAATCAATCCAATCCATATCACGAATACTCCTACTACGAGTCATGTGCCGCTATATGCTTAATTGTGTATTTCTGAAATTGTGGGGACAACAATCAAAGTGCCACACTTGTTGCAAAAAATTACCTTAATACCACCCCCTCCCCCAAATGCCACCCTGAGCCTATAATACCTGACGAGTTAGGTGTGGACACGTGGCAGAAGATGCATGGTCACGTAAGCCATTGCGCAGTGCAGCGAGATTACGTGACGTCAAACGTGCTATGCAATATAGCATATTACGTGTGTGTCATTAAATAATTTAAATTAATATAGACTGAATTAAACTAAAATAATTAACAAACATATATTACATTTAATTCATTAACACTCCTATATTAAATTACATTACTTAACGGTTCAAAAAAAAAATAACATAACTTAAACTAAATTAAATTAAATTAATTAACACTCCTAAAAATAAATAAATAATAGTTATAAAATAATTTAAATTAACTATTTTAGTTTAATTTTGTCTATATTAATTTAGATTATTTTATAACTGTTAATTGATTATTTTTGAGAGTGGTAATTAATTTCATTTCATTTAGTTTAAGTAATGTTAGTTTTTTTTGAACTGTTAAGTAATTTAATTTAATTTAATTAAGGATTGTTAATGAATTAAATTAAATTTAAGATTGTTAATTATTTTAGTTTAATTCAATCTATATTAATTTAAATTATTTTATAATTATTAATTAATTATTTTTTGGAATGTAATTAATTTCATTTAATTTAGCTTAAGTTATGTTAAATTTTTTTGAACTGTTAAGTAATTTAATTTAATTAAGGAGTGTTAATGAATTAAATATAATTTATGTTTGTTAATTATTTTAGTTTAATTTAGTCTATTTTAATGTAAATTATTTTTAGAAGTGTTAATTAATTTTATTTAATTTAGTTTAAGTTATGTTAATTTATTTTTGAATCGTTAAGTAATGTAATTTAACTTAAGAGTGTTAATGAATTAAATATAATTTATGTTTGTTAATTATTTTAGTTTGATTTAGTGTATATTAATTTAAATTATTTTATGACACACACGTAACATGCTATGCTGCATAACACGTTTGCCCGTGTCAGAAAGCAAGCTAAATATGTTATGTTGCATAGCATATTTGACGCCACGTAATCTCGCAGCAGCTCACGTGGCTATACATTTTCTATCACGTATCCACACCTAACTCGCCAGGTGTTATACGGAGTTAGATGATGTGATATTTTGAAAAAAATTTACAAAGACTTGACATTCAAATAAATTTTTGTAAAAAATGTGACACTTTAGTTATTATCTCGAAATCGTGTAACTGAGTTTTTGTCTTTGGATCTTTTAAGATATTATTGGACTAGACCCTTTGGGTCTAAATCAAACACATACTCATAAAAAATTTTGTTACAAGCGTCTGCAAGACATTTTAGAGAAATAAATAAGCACGATACAAAAAAAAAATACTAGACAAAGAAACATTGATTAAGTTAACCAATAAATTTTGATTAATGATGCAAACTATTTTGAAAATGTTTGTAAATATAATGATTGATTTAAAAAATAATTGAAATTATATTAAAAGTAAAATAGATAATATATAGACCAAAATATTAATTTCAAATTTTATTAAAAATAGTCTGTAACTAATAAAAGACTCTGATACCTGTACTGGAAAAAAAAATCAGAATAATCATTTATTAGTGGATCAAACATGGCTGAATCGTCGTCAATAAGATGGTAAAAGACTTTTTTGATTAATCTTTAAGTTGTTAAAAAATTTGGGCTGTCATAAATAAATACTATGCATAGACAGGCCCTATTTCGAATTTCTATTTCCTTTAAAGTGTGTTTGGTAGATGACATCTTAAAATATTGTTAGGCATTTGGAAGTGGGTAATTAGTTTGTCCATGTTTGATAGAGGATATTTAAAAATTTGCGTAACTAACCCATTTGCCTAGCAATTGAACTTTGTATGCAAAATTGGACCAAAAACATGGTGCTCAAATCCTACTTGGAGAGTGGTATTTGAGTGATAGCTAGGTAAGTGAAAAAGGTGAACATGAGAGATGACAAAACTATACTTTGATGACTTCAACATTAGTTCTCATTAGGGTTATTTTGTAAAGGGTTATTTTATAATTTCAGTCTAATTTCCCATCAATATTTTATCTTCAAACAAACATAGATTCAAAAATTCCACTCAATTTTTCTACTAATATTTTGTTTAACTAAACAACTTTTGTTTAATTTTTCTATCTAACTCATTTTTCCTGCAGATCCCTAATAATCACATTTTTCTGATAAAAAAAAATTTCACCAGTACCAAACACCTGAAGCACAACTAGTAAAGTCCTTCCCCTAACACTCTCGCCCAGGAACAGACATTAGTGAGAGATGAATCTATAAGCTAACTGTGGCAAAGAATTAGGATAAATTATAATGTCTTTTTTTATTTAAAATATTAATATTTGTAATATTTTAACTTATCTTAATGTGAATGTTCCTTTCAATTTTATTTATTTATTTTTGGTATTCTTTATTTATTTTTTAACTCTCAACGTAATCAGCGTTTAATTTTAAATTTGGGACATGTTATTTTTTATACACTTTTTTTTCTGTTTATCTATGCCTTCTTCTCTTTAATATTATTAGTACTTTTATATTTTTCTCTCCTGTTAAGATTTTGTTGAAGAGTAATAGCCAAAGATAGACAAAAAAAGATAGGTAGAATAATATATCGCTTTAAATTTTTATATTAGCTTTGAAACTTTAAAAAATAAAATCGTGAGTGAAATCTTAAACACAATATGAAATTATTTAAAAATTTATTCATATTTTAGAATTTCAAATTGATGATGAAAATATTTAAAAATATATGTTCAGTAATACTAAGAAACATTAAGAGAAGAAAAATATCTTTAAGAAACTCGTTTATGATTATACACTATCTCTATCACTAAAAGAATTGTTTACATTAAAATAAATAAATAAAATATATTTTAATTTCTTAAAAAGTTGTAATA